ATCCAGAATGTGAGACTTGATCACATGAAAAGGTTAGCGCGAAGAAAGGGTTTCGAGGTGACGGATAAAATAAGGTAAGGGTGTACGGCCGGACGGACGGAAGTGACCTCCAACAAGGTGCCTAGGCCTAGATCTAGTGGCCTACTTGAAATGAGTTCATGTCTATAATTATCTGGCAGTAAAACTATTACTAAAATTAGTTAGTGAATACTTTACTCTAGGAATATATATTTTCTGATTTTTAACATCCAGATTTTGCTTGAGTTTTTAAAACTAGATATAGATAAGAATGTATGCCTTGTTTTTGTAAAAGGAGTAAGATGTAATTTATTGTTGTAATGATTTGAGTCAGGCCGATGCTTTTAAAGACGAGACTTAGTTTACTACTGAGAGTAATTAAATATTCATTCTTTTGACTTTGTTCTGAGTGAATAAAGGATATCATTGATTAACAAGTAAAAAGAGGAAAAAACACTTGAATTTTATATTTATAACTTAAAACCTACCTTTTTTTTTTGTCAGTTCATGGGATTCTCCTGCTGCTGTTTTTTCAATTTTTCTCCTAGCAATGGTGGCAAGTTCTTTTTTATTTTAACTTTAATAGGCGCTTTATAAGTTCTGTTGTATTATTATTATTATATTTGTACAGTAAACAATTTAGGTGCATCTTCTACTATTCCACTAATTATTACCACTATTACTATTTTCTTTTTCAGTGAAAAGGTCACACACATTGTGTCAGAGCTTTCGACAAGAGATGAAGTGGTTGAAAATTTAACGAAAAATTACAGCAATTTGTTGCCTTCGTGTGAAATATTGTCGGTACAATGGTTTGTAAGCTGTATGGAGGCTAATGATGCTATTCTTGTTACGGACGAATACAGGCTGCCGTCAGAAAGAAAGATTGACAAGGCAAGTTAGAGCCATGTTATGTTTCTAGATAAAGCACATACCAGGCATTGTATTGTAGTTTATTTATACTATGCAACTGTCCCATGGGAAAACAATGTACCTGCTATTATATTTTTGTGCAAATACATTGCTCTACCTTAGAAGGGCTGATTTGTGTCTGTGTTACTGCAACTCAATAAGAAATTGATGCCTTGTTTCTGCAAATTGATTTCAGGTGAAAATATTTAATTTTATTATTTATAGTAAAAGCCACCCAAAAAGTTTATAAGAAAATGAAATCTTACTGCCTATTTATTTTAAAGAATCACATAGGTTATCTTTCAGTATGCCACAAAAAAAAAATACATTTCTAAAAAAAATTTTTGCACAAATTTTCAGCAAAACTAAAACTTACTGATAAAGAATACAAGATGAGCAATGTATTTATTTAACTATTCTCTAGTGATTTTAAAGTTTTGCATGTTCGCATATCTTTAATGATTATTATAATGATTAAACTATCCCTCGGCCTGTTGCCTGTTCATTATACTCTATTGTTTTTGGACCACAGACTAAATCACTTGATGACAGAAAAACTAAGAAAAATTATTACCAAAATGCAAAATATGCATGTCAGAGGTCAACTCCTGTCAGTGACTCAAATCGAAAGTTAACAGTAAGTATCAATTAATGTCACTTATAGAATAACTTAATTAAATTTTATCGCTGTCAAAGCTCTTCAAGATATATTTGTTGTCGTCATTTAAATTCATAAAAAATTATGATCTCTATATGATTTGAACCCATTTTTGAAATGATCTAGATGATAAGCACTCTAACTGTGTAACAATTTTCTGTATTACACTTGGTGCTGAGGTGGATCTAGATATGCCCGAAAGGTGGGGGCGGCATTCGAGAGACAACACTACCTAATTTTTTTTGTCTAGATGTCTGGGAATAACCTCTGAAGCAATTTGTGCGAATAATTTCTTTTTCTTTCTTTTTTTTTTTAAATTTGCAAAAAGGG